CTAAGCGCTGCACGTGTTCTTCTGGAGTGGCGCTGAACACGATTACGTCGTCAATGTAGCACAGTGCCCCCTCCATCCCTCGGAGGACCGCGTCCATCACCTTTTGAAACAGCAAGGAGGTGTTCTTTAAGCCAAAGGGCATCCAATTCCACTCGTACGCTCCGTCCGGGCCGTGGAAGGCGGTCTTTGCTTTGTCTGCCTCCGCGATGGGGATCTGGTTGAATCCCTGCCTCATATCCAGTGTCGAGAACACCCGTGCTTCTGCCAGCTGATCAAACAGTTCGTCTACCATGGGCGTAGAGTACCTCTCCGGAACCGTCACCTTGTTCAAGTCTCTGTAATCACCACACATGCGGCGTGCCAACACCGTCCCCGTGAGATCCATCCTCGCCACCACCACTGTCGCCGCCGCGTACTTTGATTCCGAGCGGCGTATGAGCCCTGCCTCCAGCAACTCCAAACAATTCTCCTTGCATATCTCCAAAACCTGCGGGCTCATTCTGCGCCTCCTCTGATATACTGGCACCGTAGTGGTCAGCTCGAGTGTCATGACCGCGCAGTTGCAGCATCCCAGCTCCTTCAACGAGTAGGCGAACGTCCGTCGATGTGATGCCAGCAGAGCTTCCACTGCTTGGCGATGTTCGCCTTGCAGTCCTGCTCCCAAATCCCATGTGCACTGCTCCTCCTCCGTCCTTGCCGCCACGCCCGTGGTCCCTTCGTGGGTATCTTTCCCTCCTGGTGTCTGCGGGTTTGAAATAACTGCTGTGTTTGTTGTAGGGGTATCTGGTTGGCCCTGATATTGTAAGATAAGGTTTGGCTTACATGGTGTTTGCCATTTTGTGAATCGCAGCAGAGCTGATGGCACTGTACCCATGTCGCGACTTCTCCTTTCTTTCCATTTCAGGCGTAGCAACAATAGATTATTACGTTTTCCTTCCAATCCGAGGTACCTGGGCTGCTCATTCATGCAGAAACGAGCCTGGTGGGTCTGGTCGCGCTGCTGTGGGTCACGTGCCAAGCCATGAAATGAAACACTGCACTCACACTCGACGCAGATTTGCAAGCTTGCCAAAGGACTCAGGGATTGGGCCACTCAAGCTGTTGTACGTCAAGTCTCTGATAAAAGAGCAATGGGGGACATTTTGAATGAGGCGGGTGTGTTGGAATTTCGAATGAGTTGGAATTTCGAATGAGGCATGCGTGTTGGAGGAAACTGGCATGGGAGAGGCGGAGGTTCGTCTGACCATCCTCGACTCAAGCATTTCACGACTCGAGATTAAGCAGCAGTGAGGTAAGTCTCAGCGGGCCGCCCATTGACCAGAGCTTGACCCTAAACCCTAAACCCTAAACCCTGCATTTCGACTCGCTTGCTCATGTACTGGCCCTCGTACGAGGCCAGCCTGTCATGGCCTTGTCCCTAGTTTGGTTAGTCCTGAACCGGCTTGCGAGGCATTTCAAGCAGGCGCAGGAGCCAGACGGAACTTACTTGGGCAATGACGTCTTCTTCATTCAAATGTCAAAAAGTGTGCGCACATGTGAATGAGTGGAAACACCTAGAAAACAGGACAGGACCAGCAGCACGCATGATCTGAGCAAGGTTAAAAAAAACGTCGTTTTTTTTAGAATTTACCGCAAAAAACGGTACCGTAAAAAACGGCCGTAAAAAACGGTTCCAAATGTGATTTTCGTTTGAAGAGAAAATCGACCATGGTGCAGATCACTCGGTGCCTCCTCCGCCACTCCAACGCTCCGCACTCTCTCTGGGGGTACGCTCTCTACCACGCCGCCCTCCTCTACAACCTTTACCCCCACCCGCATCTTCCCGATACCACTCCAACCACGCTTTGGCTCGGGAAAACGCCCACTGCTCGCTCTCTTCGCGTTTGGGGGTGCACCGCCTATGTCCTCCTCAACCCTCAGGCTCGACGGCAGCACGGCGGAAAACTCGGTCCCAAGACCCAGACGTGCATCTACCTCGGGCACAACGCCGACTCGCCTGACTACCTCTTCCTCAACACCTTCACTCAACAGTTGGTCCGGAGCCGCGACGTTGTCTTTGATGAGACCCGCCCATTCTACTCCACTTCGGGACGGGACCCTCTCTCTGATCCACCCTCCCTCGTGTGGGCAGACTTTGATGCGCCTCCTGACCTCCCGCCTGCTCCGGCCCCTTCATCTCCTACCCCTCCTGCCACCGCACCGTCCCCCTCTGAGGTCTCTGACCCGCCCTCACCGGTGTCTTCGGCAGCTGCTCCTCCCTCCCCCTCACCTGTCGCCCTGCCATCTGCGCCGCCACCTCCGAGCGAACCAATCACATACCATCGGCGGTCGCACCCTCCGGCCCCACCTTTTCCCCCAGCCCCCCCTTCCTCCCAGGCACCCGCTCCTCCACAGCCGCCCGCACTGATCACGTACAATCGGCGGCCAATTCCCCCGCCCAAGCCTCCTAAGTCAATCCCTCAGACACCGCCTGCTCCGCCCTCCTCTCCGGTAGCCCATGGCACTCGCTCGCACGGCCCTGCTCCTCCTCTGGCCCTGGCTATTCGTTGCTCCATTATCACTTCGACTCCTCTTGCCGGGGGGGGTGTGCCCTCTACCCTTCTGGAAGATAGGCATGAGGAGCTTTATGATCTCCACGCAGTCATTCCCCAGCTCTCGCACATCTTCCCTGACATCACTGAATCACCCTCACTCAACTTTACGGAAAACCCGACCATCCCTATCCCTCTCACCGTCCAAGAGGCTCTCTCAGGCCCTCATGCTGCCGAGTGGCGTGCTGCCATGGAAGCGGAGATTGAAGCATTCACCCGCAACCACTCGTTCGACGACGAGACTCCACCTCCAGGAGTCAACATCGTCGGGGGCAAGTGGTTGTTCCGTGTAAAACAGCTCCCAGACGAGGCCCCGGTGTTCAAAGCGCGTTACGTAGCCAAGGGCTTCACCCAGCAGCAGTACCGCGACTTCTTCCTAACCTTCTCCCCCACATCCAAACCTCCCACCATTCGTACGCTCATGGATGTCGCAGCTCGAGAAGACTTTGAGATCAAATCCATGGATGCCTCATCCGCCTTCCTACAAGGACGTCTCAAGGAGACAGTGTTCATGGACAGACCTGAAGGCTTCCCAGGAGAATTCCCTCCCAACACTGTCTGGAAGCTAAATCGCATCGTCTACTGCCTTAAGCAAGCCCCTCGCGAATGGCACAACAAGGTGAAAGAAGTCCTCCTCTCCCTGGACTTCCACCCCTCATCTGCTGACCCGACTCTCTTCATCCGCCGTCATTCTGAGCCATTCTACATCCTGGTCTACGTGGATGACTTCATCCTCGTTGCCAAGGACTCGGCCCAGATGACCTCTGTCCAGGCAGCCCTGAGCAAGGCCCTCCAGATGAAAGACCTCGGTGACCTCAAGCACTACCTGGGGATGGAGATCACTCGTGATCGCCAGGCTCGCACCATTTCACTCTCCCAGGAGTTCTTCATCGACAATGTGCTCAAGCGGTTTGAGATGGAGCTGTGCACACCCGTTGCCACCCCGCTGCCACTGCAACACCTCCTCACAGCTCCAGCTGTACCCACACCAGAGGCCTGCTCTGAGCCATACCCGGAGCTTGTTGGGTCCCTCATGTACGCCATGATGTGCACCCGGCCGGACTTGGCCTATCCTGTCAGTGTCCTCTCTCGCTACGTGGCCCCTGGACGCTTCACTGATCTTCACTGGAAGGCGGCGAAGCGGGTGCTGCGCTATCTTCAGGGCACAAAGTCTCACGTTCTCACACTCGGTGGGCTCTCCCCTCCTCGCCTGGAAGGTTACACCGACTCCTCCTGGGCTGATGACCAGACCGACCGACGCTCCTCTCAGGGGTACTGCTTCACCCTTGGGAGCGGAATTGTCAGTTGGCGCTCCACCAGGTCGTCTGCAGTCTCCCTCTCTTCATGTGAGGCAGAGCTCTACGCAGGCACCATGGCTGCTCAGGAGGCCCGTTGGCTCACCTTCCTACTCCAGGAGCTTGGTTTCCCACAGTCTGCCCCCACCCTCTGGTGTGACAACCAGAGTACCATCCACATCTCTCAAGACCCTGTGTATCACACCCGCACCAAGCATATTGAACTCCGGCACTTCTTCATCCGTGACCTTGTCCAGCAGGAGCAGTTGAAAGTGGAGTACGTTGCATCTGACTGCAACCTGGCTGATCTGTTCACCAAGCCCCTTGGGAAAGTTCCCCACCACCGTCTCCTTGGCGCCATGGGGCTCTGTGCTCCACCCTCTATGCCCTGAGTTCGATTGACGCCTATGGGGGGGTGTTAGTGTTAACCTTCAATCTCACACTTTGTACTTTGTATTTTCTATATCCTAGAGTAGTGTAGTTTGCACATTGTGTTTGGTTGGGTGTACACCTACATCCCAACCAAACCCAAATGTAATCTCCAAGCAATCTCCAACCCACCAATTGGAGATTGCCTTGGTATTACCCAATCCCTAGGGATTGCCTCTGATTCCCTTCCCCAACTATTCCTTACCCTCCTTGGATGTACTTAAAGAGCTTCAAGCTCACTACTAATGCATCGCTTCTAAGCCTAAGTTCTAACATTTATGAGGCCAAATTGATGGCGAAAATCACTAAGATGAAGAGGACGAAGCCCTCTTTGCATGCGTGCATGTGTGGGCATGATCGAAAAGGTATCCGACCTTGTTTTTGCCTTTTTTTTCTTGGTGACAAGAGTTCTCTTACAAAAAAACGCCGTATTTTTAAAAAATTACCGTGAAAAACGGACTGTAATTTACGAAAACCGTATTTTTGCACCTTGGGTCTGAGGAGTTAGTTTATTGGCAACTGGCCTGTGGTTGGAACTTTGGATTCTATGACGAGTGCAACAAAGGGGTGAAATTCCCGACACCAATGAACAGTAAAAGGACAGCGCTCACCTGTTCCTGTAGCACCTGCAATTTGAAGGCATGAAGACCTTCGCAGCGAGGCAAAGCTTGAGAAAGCATGGAACTTACAAGTTACGAAGATTCGAAAGGCTGCCGATGGAGTCAGGAATGGAGCCATTCAGCATGTTGGACATGAGCACTCTGATGAGGCAACAACGGATGGCAAGCGTGCATGCATGCATCAAGAGTGAGGAAGATAGGCAAGAACTGGTGGTGGCATAGACGGTAGCTCGGTTCGTTGGTCCAGCTCATCCCGAGTCGTGCTGAGCCACCTCCACAAGCCAAGCCATAAGAGCGGGCAATGAGTGAGCGGCCCGGTATCGTCGCCCGACCAACCAAGCGAACGAGCCATGTAAGGGGACAAACGAGCCATGTAAGGGGACGAACGAGCCATGTAAGGGGACGAACGAGCCATGTAAGGGGACGAACGAGCCATGTAAGGGGACGAACGAGCCATGTAAGGGGACGAACGAGCCATGTAAGGGGACGAACGAGCCATGTAAGGGGACGAACGAGCCATGTAAGGGGACGAACGAGCCATGTAAGGGGACGAACGAGCCATGTAAGGGGACGAACGAGCCATGTAAGGGGACGAACGAGCCATGTAAGGGGACGAACGAGCCATGTAAGGGGACGAACGAGCCATGTAAGGGGACGAACGAGCCATGTAAGGGGACGAACGAGCCATGTAAGGGGACGAAGCGAGCCATGTAAGGGGACGAGCGAGCCATGTAAGGGGACGAACGAGCCATGTAAGGGGACGAACGAGCCATGTAAGGGGACGAACGAGCCATGTAAGGGGACGAACGAGCCATGTAAGGGGACGAACGAGCCATGTAAGGGGACGAACGAGCCATGTAAGGGGACGAACGAGCCATGTAGGGGACGAACGAGCCATGTAAGGGGACGAACGAGCCATGTAAGGGGACGAACGAGCCATGTAAGGGGACGAACGAGCCATGTAAGGGGACGAACGAGCCATGTAAGGGGACGAACGAGCCATGTAAGGGGACGAACGAGCCATGTAAGGGGACGAACGAGCCATGTAAGGGGACGAACGAGCCATGTAAGGGGACGAACGAGCCATGTAAGGGGACGAACGAGCCATGTAAGGGGACGAACGAGCCATGTAAGGGGACGAACGAGCCATGTAAGGGGACGAACGAGCCATGTAAGGGGACGAACGAGCCATGTAAGGGGACGAACGAGCCATGTAAGGGGACGAACGAGCCATGTAAGGGGACGAACGAGCCATGTAAGGGGACGAACGAGCCATGTAAGGGGACGAACGAGCCATGTAAGGGGACGAACGAGCCATGTAAGGGGACGAACGAGCCATGTAAGGGGACGAACGAGCCATGTAAGGGGACGAACGAGCCATGTAAGGGGACGAACGAGCCATGTAAGGGGACGAACGAGCCATGTAAGGGGACGAACGAGCCATGTAAGGGGACGACGAGCCATGTAAGGGGACGAACGAGCCATGTAAGGGGACGAACGAGCCATGTAAGGGGACGAACGAGCCATGTAAGGGGACGAACGAGCCATGTAAGGGGACGAACGAGCCATGTAAGGGGACGAACGAGCCATGTAAGGGGACGAACGAGCCATGTAAGGGGACGAACGAAGCCATGTAAGGGGACGAACGAGCCATGTAAGAGGGACGAACGAGCCATGTAAGGGGACGACGAGCCATTGTAAGGGGACGAACGAGCCATGTAAGGGGACGAACGAGCCATGTAAGGGGACGAACGAGCCATGTAAGGGGACGAACGAGCCATGTAAGAGGACGAACGAGCCATGTAAGGGGACGAACGAGCCATGTAAGGGGACGAACGAGCCATGTAAGGGGACGAACGAGCCATGTAAGGGGACGAACGAGCCATGTAAGGGGACGAACGAGCCATGTAAGGGGACGAACGAGCCATGTAAGGGGACGAGCGAGCCATGTAAGGGGACGAACGAGCCATGTAAGGGACGAACGAGCCATGTAAGGGGACGAACGAGCCATGTAAGGGGACGAACGAGCCATGTAAGGGGACGAACGAGCCATGTAAGAGGACGAACGAGCCATGTAAGGGGACGAACGAGCCTTGTAAGGGGACGAACGAGCCATGTAAGGGGACGAACGAGCCATGTAAGGGGACGAACGAGCCATGTAAGGGGACGAACGAGCCATGTAAGGGGACGAACGAGCCATGTAAGGGGACGAACGAGCCATGTAAGGGGACGAACGAGCCATGTAAGGGGACGAACGAGCCATGTAAGGGGACGAACGAGCCATGTAAGGGGACGAACGAGCCATGTAAGGGGACGAACGAGCCATGTAAGGGGACGAACGAGCCATGTAAGGGGACGAACGAGCCATGTAAGGGGACGAACGAGCCATGTAAGGGGACGAACGAGCCATGTAAGGGGACGAACGAGCCATGTAAGGGGACGAACGAGCCATGTAAGGGGACGAACGAGCCATGTAAGGGGACGAACGAGCCATGTAAGGGGACGAACGAGCCATGTAAGGGGACGAACGAGCCATGTAAGGGGACGAACGAGCCATGTAAGGGGACGAACGAGCCATGTAAGGGGACGAACGAGCCATGTAAGGGGACGAACGAGCCATGTAAGGGGACGAACGAGCCATGTAAGGGGACGAACGAGCCATGTAAGGGGACGAACGAGCCATGTAAGGGGACGAACGAGCCATGTAAGGGGACGAACGAGCCATGTAAGGGGACGAACGAGCCATGTAAGGGGACGAACGAGCCATGTAAGGGGACGAACGAGCCATGTAAGGGGACGAACGAGCCATGTAAGGGGACGAACGAGCCATGTAAGGGGACGAACGAGCCATGTAAGGGGACGAACGAGCCATGTAAGGGGACGAACGAGCCATGTAAGGGACGAAGAGCCATGTAAGGGACGAGCCATGTAAGGGGACGAACGAGCCATGTAAGGGGACGAACGAGCCATGTAAGGGGACGAACGAGCCATGTAAGGGGACGAACGAGCCATGTAAGGGGACGAACGAGCCATGTAAGGGGACGAACGAGCCATGTAAGGGGACGAACGAGCCATGTAAGGGGACGAACGAGCCATGTAAGGGGACGAACGAGCCATGTAAGGGGACGAACGAGCCATGTAAGGGGACGAACGAGCCATGTAAGGGGACGAACGAGCCATGTAAGGGGACGAACGAGCCATGTAAGGGGACGAACGAGCCATGTAAGGGGACGAACGAGCCATGTAAGGGGACGAACGAGCCATGTAAGGGGACGAACGAGCCATGTAAGGGGACGAACGAGCCATGTAAGGGGACGAACGAGCCATGTAAGGGGACGAACGAGCCATGTAAGGGGACGAACGAGCCATGTAAGGGGACGAACGAGCCATGTAAGGGGACGAACGAGCCATGTAAGGGGACGAACGAGCCATGTAAGGGGACGAACGAGCCATGTAAGGGGACGAACGAGCCATGTAAGGGGACGAACGAGCCATGTAAGGGGACGAACGAGCCATGTAAGGGGACGAACGAGCCATGTAAGGGGACGAACGAGCCATGTAAGGGGACGAACGAGCCATGTAAGGGGACGAACGAGCCATGTAAGGGGACGAACGAGCCATGTAAGGGGACGAACGAGCCATGTAAGGGGACGAACGAGCCATGTAAGGGGACGAACGAGCCATGTAAGGGACGAACGAGCCATGTAAGGGGACGAACGAGCCATGTAAGGGGACGAACGAGCCATGTAAGGGGACGAACGAGCCATGTAAGGGGACGAACGAGCCATGTAAGGGGACGAACGAGCCATGTAAGGGGACGAACGAGCCATGTAAGGGGACGAACGAGCCATGTAAGGGGACGAACGAGCCATGTAAGGGGACGAACGAGCCATGTAAGGGGACGAACGAGCCATGTAAGGGGACGAACGAGCCATGTAAGGGGACGAACGAGCCATGTAAGGGGACGAACGAGCCATGTAAGGGACGAACGAGCCATGTAAGGGGACGAACGAGCCATGTAAGGGGACGAACGAGCCATGTAAGGGGACGAACGAGCCATGTAAGGGGACGAACGAGCCATGTAAGGGGACGAACGAGCCATGTAAGGGGACGAACGAGCCATGTAAGGGGACGAACGAGCCATGTAAGGGGACGAACGAGCCATGTAAGGGACGAACGAGCCATGTAAGGGGACGAACGAGCCATGTAAGGGGACGAACGAGCCATGTAAGGGGACGAACGAGCCATGTAAGGGGACGAACGAGCCATGTAAGGGGACGAACGAGCCATGTAAGGGACGAACGAGCCATGTAAGGGGACGAACGAGCCATGTAAGGGGACGAACGAGCCATGTAAGGGGACGAACGAGCCATGTAAGGGGACGAACGAGCCATGTAAGGGGACGAACGAGCCATGTAAGGGGACGAACGAGCCATGTAAGGGGACGAACGAGCCATGTAAGGGGACGAACGAGCCATGTAAGGGGACGAACGAGCCATGTAAGGGGACGAACGAGCCATGTAAGGGGACGAACGAGCCATGTAAGGGGACGAACGAGCCATGTAAGGGGACGAACGAGCCATGTAAGGGACGAACGAGCCATGTAAGGGGACGAACGAGCCATGTAAGGGGACGAACGAGCCATGTAAGGGGACGAACGAGCCATGTAAGGGGACGAACGAGCCATGTAAGGGGACGAACGAGCCATGTAAGGGGACGAACGAGCCATGTAAGGGGACGAACGAGCCATGTAAGGGGACGAACGAGCCATGTAAGGGGACGAACGAGCCATGTAAGGGGACGAACGAGCCATGTAAGGGGACGAACGAGCCATGTAAGGGGACGAACGAGCCATGTAAGGGGACGAACGAGCCATGTAAGGGGACGAACGAGCCATGTAAGGGGACGAACGAGCCATGTAAGGGGACGAACGAGCCATGTAAGGGGACGAACGAGCCATGTAAGGGACGAACGAGCCATGTAAGGGGACGAACGAGCCATGTAAGGGACGAACGAGCCATGTAAGGGGACGAACGAGCCATGTAAGGGGACGAACGAGCCATGTAAGGGGACGAACGAGCCATGTAAGGGACGAACGAGCCATGTAAGGGGACGAACGAGCCATGTAAGGGGACGAACGAGCCATGTAAGGGGACGAACGAGCCATGTAAGGGGACGAACGAGCCATGTAAGGGGACGAACGAGCCATGTAAGGGGACGAACGAGCCATGTAAGGGGACGAACGAGCCATGTAAGGGGACGAACGAGCCATGTAAGGGGACGAACGAGCCATGTAAGGGGACGAACGAGCCATGTAAGGGGACGAACGAGCCATGTAAGGGGACGAACGAGCCATGTAAGGGGACGAACGAGCCATGTAAGGGGACGAACGAGCCATGTAAGGGGACGAACGAGCCATGTAAGGGGACGAACGAGCCATGTAAGGGGACGAACGAGCCATGTAAGGGGACGAACGAGCCATGTAAGGGGACGAACGAGCCATGTAAGGGGACGAACGAGCCATGTAAGGGGACGAACGAGCCATGTAAGGGGACGAACGAGCCATGTAAGGGGACGAACGAGCCATGTAAGGGGACGAACGAGCCATGTAAGGGGACGAACGAGCCATGTAAGGGGACGAACGAGCCATGTAAGGGGACGAACGAGCCATGTAAGGGGACGAACGAGCCATGTAAGGGGACGAACGAGCCATGTAAGGGGACGAACGAGCCATGTAAGGGGACGAACGAGCCATTGTAAGGGGACGAACGAGCCATGTAAGGGGACGAACGAGCCATGTAAGGGGACGAACGAGCCATGTAAGGGGACGAACGAGCCATGTAAGGGGACGAACGAGCCATGTAAGGGGACGAACGAGCCATGTAAGGGGACGAACGAGCCATGTAAGGGGACGAACGAGCCATGTAAGGGGACGAACGAGCCATGTAAGGGGACGAACGAGCCATGTAAGGGGACGAACGAGCCATGTAAGGGGACGAACGAGCCATGTAAGGGGACGAACGAGCCATGTAAGGGGACGAACGAGCCATGTAAGGGGACGAACGAGCCATGTAAGGGGACGAACGAGCCATGTAAGGGGACGAACGAGCCATGTAAGGGGACGAACGAGCCATGTAAGGGGACGAACGAGCCATGTAAGGGGACGAACGAGCCATGTAAGGGGACGAACGAGCCATGTAAGGGGACGAACGAGCCATGTAAGGGGACGAACGAGCCATGTAAGGGGACGAACGAGCCATGTAAGGGGACGAACGAGCCATGTAAGGGGACGAACGAGCCATGTAAGGGGACGAACGAGCCATGTAGGGGACGAACGAGCCATGTAAGGGGACGAACGAGCCATGTAAGGGGACGAACGAGCCATGTAAGGGACGAACGAGCCATGTAAGGGGACGAACGAGCCATGTAAGGGGACGAACGAGCCATGTAAGGGGACGAACGAGCCATGTAAGGGGACGAACGAGCCATGTAAGGGGGACGAACGAGCCATGTAAGGGGACGAACGAGCCATGTAAGGGGACGAACGAGCCATGTAAGGGGACGAACGAGCCATGTAAGGGGACGAACGAGCCATGTAAGGGGACGAACGAGCCATGTAAGGGGACGAACGAGCCATGTAAGGGGACGAACGAGCCATGTAAGGGGACGAACGAGCCATGTAAGGGGACGAACGAGCCATGTAAGGGGACGAACGAGCCATGTAAGGGGACGAACGAGCCATGTAAGGGGACGAACGAGCCATGTAAGGGGACGAACGAGCCATGTAAGGGGACGAACGAGCCATGTAAGGGGACGAACGAGCCATGTAAGGGGACGAACGAGCCATGTAAGGGGACGAACGAGCCATGTAAGGGGACGAACGAGCCATGTAAGGGGACGAACGAGCCATGTAAGGGGACGAACGAGCCATGTAAGGGGACGAACGAGCCATGTAAGGGGACGAACGAGCCATGTAAGGGGACGAACGAGCCATGTAAGGGGACGAACGAGCCATGTAAGGGGACGAACGAGCCATGTAAGGGGACGAACGAGCCATGTAAGGGGACGAACGAGCCATGTAAGGGGACGAACGAGCCATGTAAGGGGACGAACGAGCCATGTAAGGGGACGAACGAGCCATGTAAGGGGACGAACGAGCCATGTAAGGGGACGAACGAGCCATGTAAGGGGACGAACGAGCCATGTAAGGGGACGAACGAGCCATGTAAGGGGACGAACGAGCCATGTAAGGGGACGAACGAGCCATGTAAGGGGACGAACGAGCCATGTAAGGGGACGAACGAGCCATGTAAGGGGACGAACGAGCCATGTAAGGGGACGAACGAGCCATGTAAGGGGACGAACGAGCCATGTAAGGGGACGAACGAGCCATGTAAGGGGACGAACGAGCCATGTAAGGGGACGAACGAGCCATGTAAGGGGACGAACGAGCCATGTAAGGGGACGAACGAGCCATGTAAGGGGACGAACGAGCCATGTAAGGGGACGAACGAGCCATGTAAGGGGACGAACGAGCCATGTAAGGGGACGAACGAGCCATGTAAGGGGACGAACGAGCCATGTAAGGGGACGAACGAGCCATGTAAGGGGACGAACGAGCCATGTAAGGGGACGAACGAGCCATGTAAGGGGACGAACGAGCCATGTAAGGGGACGAACGAGCCATGTAAGGGGACGAACGAGCCATGTAAGGGACGAACGAGCCATGTAAGGGGACGAACGAGCCATGTAAGGGGACGAACGAGCCATGTAAGGGGACGAACGAGCCATGTAAGGGGACGAACGAGCCATGTAAGGGGACGAACGAGCCATGTAAGGGGACGAACGAGCCATGTAAGGGGACGAACGAGCCATGTAAGGGGACGAACGAGCCATGTAAGGGGACGAACGAGCCATGTAAGGGGACGAACGAGCCATGTAAGGGGACGAACGAGCCATGTAAGGGGACGAACGAGCCATGTAAGGGGACGAACGAGCCATGTAAGGGGACGAACGAGCCATGTAAGGGGACGAACGAGCCATGTAAGGGGACGAACGAGCCATGTAAGGGGACGAACGAGCCATGTAAGGGGACGAACGAGCCATGTAAGGGGACGAACGAGCCATGTAAGGGGACGAACGAGCCATGTAAGGGGACGAACGAGCCATGTAAGGGGACGAACGAGCCATGTAAGGGGACGAACGAGCCATGTAGGGGACGAACGAGCCATGTAAGGGGACGAACGAGCCATGTAAGGGGACGAACGAGCCATGTAAGGGGACGAACGAGCCATGTAAGGGGACGAACGAGCCATGTAAGGGGACGAACGAGCCATGTAAGGGGACGAACGAGCCATGTAAGGGGACGAACGAGCCATGTAAGGGACGAACGAGCCATGTAAGGGGACGAACGAGCCATGTAAGGGGACGAACGAGCCATGTAAGGGGACGAACGAGCCATGTAAGGGGACGAACGAGCCATGTAAGGGGACGAACGAGCCATGTAAGGGGACGAACGAGCCATGTAAGGGGACGAACGAGCCATGTAAGGGGACGAACGAGCCATGTAAGGGGACGAACGAGCCATGTAAGGGGACGAACGAGCCATGTAAGGGGACGAACGAGCCATGTAAGGGGACGAACGAGCCATGTAAGGGGACGAACGAGCCATGTAAGGGGACGAACGAGCCATGTAAGGGACGAACGAGCCATGTAAGGGGACGAACGAGCCATGTAAGGGGACGAACGAGCCATGTAAGGGGACGAACGAGCCATGTAAGGGGACGAACGAGCCATGTAAGGGGACGAACGAGCCATGTAAGGGGACGAACGAGCCATGTAAGGGGACGAACGAGCCATGTAAGGGGACGAACGAGCCATGTAAGGGACGAACGAGCCATGTAAGGGGACGAACGAGCCATGTAAGGGGACGAACGAGCCATGTAAGGGGACGAACGAGCCATGTAAGGGGACGAACGAGCCATGTAAGGGGACGAACGAGCCATGTAAGGGGACGAACGAGCCATGTAAGGGGACGAACGAGCCATGTAAGGGGACGAACGAGCCATGTAAGGGGACGAACGAGCCATGTAAGGGACGAACGAGCCATGTAAGGGGACGAACGAGCCATGTAAGGGGACGAACGAGCCATGTAAGGGGACGAACGAGCCATGTAAGGGACGAACGAGCCATGTAAGGGGACGAACGAGCCATGTAAGGGGACGAACGAGCCATGTAAGGGGACGACGAGCCATGTAAGGGGACGAACGAGCCATGTAAGGGGACGAGCCATGTAAGGGGACGAACGAGCCATGTAAGGGGACGAACGAGCCATGTAAGGGGACGAACGAGCCATGTAAGGGGACGAACGAGCCATGTAAGGGGACGAACGAGCCATGTAAGGGGGACGACGAGCCATGTAAGGGGACGAACGAGCCATGTAAGGGGACGAAAGAGCCATGTAAGGGGACGAACGAGCCATGTAAGGGACGACCGAGCCATGTAAGGGGACGAACGAGCCATGTAAGGGACGAACGAGCCATGTAAGGGGGACGAACGAGCCATGTAAGGGGACGAACGAGCCATGTAAGGGGACGAACGAGCCATGTAAGGGGACGAACGAGCCATGTAAGGGGACGAACGAGCCATGTAAGGGGACGAACGAGCCATGTAAGGGACGAACGAGCCATGTAATGGGACGAACGAGCCATGTAAGGGGACGAACGAGCCATGTAAGGGGACGAACGAGCCATGTAAGGGGACGAACGAGCCATGTAAGGGGACGAACGAGCCATGTAAGGGGACGAACGAGCCATGTAAGGGGGACGACGAGCCATGTAAGGGGACGAACGAGCCATGTAAGGGGACGAACGAGCCATGTAAGGGGACGAACGAGCCATGTAAGGGGACGAACGAGCCATGTAAGGGGACGAACGAGCCATGTAAGGGGACGAACGAGCCATGTAAGGGGACGAACGAGCCATGTAAGGGGACGAACGAGCCATGTAAGGGGACGAACGAGCCATGTAAGGGGACGAACGAGCCATGTAAGGGGACGAACGAGCCATGTAAGGGGACGAACGAGCCATGTAAGGGGACGAACGAGCCATGTAAGGGGACGAACGAGCCATGTAAGGGGACGAACGAGCCATGTAAGGGACGAACGAGCCATGTAAGGGGACGAACGAGCCATGTAAGGGGACGAACGAGCCATGTAAGGGGACGAACGAGCCATGTAAGGGGACGAACGAGCCATGTAAGGGGACGAACGAGCCATGTAAGGGGACGAACGAGCCATGTAAGGGGACGAACGAGCCATGTAAGGGGACGAACGAGCCATGTAAGGGGACGAACGAGCCATGTAAGGGGACGAACGAGCCATGTAAGGGGACGAACGAGCCATGTAAGGGGACGAACGAGCCATGTAAGGGGACGAACGAGCCATGTAAGGGGACGAACGAGCCATGTAAGGGGACGAACGAGCCATGTAAGGGGACGAACGAGCCATGTAAGGGGACGAACGAGCCATGTAAGGGGACGAACGAGCCATGTAAGGGGACGAACGAGCCATGTAAGGGGACGAACGAGCCATGTAAGGGGACGAACGAGCCATGTAAGGGGACGAACGAGCCATGTAAGGGGACGAACGAGCCATGTAAGGGGACGAACGAGCCATGTAAGGGGACGAACGAGCCATGTAAGGGGACGAACGAGCCATGTAAGGGGACGAACGAGCCATGTAAGGGGACGAACGAGCCATGTAAGGGGACGAACGAGCCATGTAAGGGGACGAACGAGCCATGTAAGGGGACGAACGAGCCATGTAAGGGGACGAACGAGCCATGTAAGGGGACGAACGAGCCATGTAAGGGGACGAACGAGCCATGTAAGGGGACGAACGAGCCATGTAAGGGGACGAACGAGCCATGTAAGGGGACGAACGAGCCATGTAAGGGGACGAACGAGCCATGTAAGGGGACGAACGAGCCATGTAAGGGGACGAACGAGCCATGTAAGGGGACGAACGAGCCATGTAAGGGGACGAACGAGCCATGTAAGGGGACGAACGAGCCATGTAAGGGGACGAACGAGCCATGTAAGGGGACGAACGAGCCATGTAAGGGGACGAACGAGCCATGTAAGGGGACGAACGAGCCATGTAAGGGGACGAACGAGCCATGTAAGGGGACGAACGAGCCATGTAAGGGGACGAACGAGCCATGTAAGGGGACGAACGAGCCATGTAAGGGGACGAACGAGCCATGTAAGGGGACGAACGAGCCATGTAAGGGGACGAACGAGCCATGTAAGGGGACGAACGAGCCATGTAAGGGGACGAACGAGCCATGTAAGGGGACGAACGAGCCATGTAAGGGGACGAACGAGCCATGTAAGGGGACGAACGAGCCATGTAAGGGGACGAACGAGCCATGTAAGGGGACGAACGAGCCATGTAAGGGGACGAACGAGCCATGTAAGGGGACGAACGAGCCATGTAAGGGACGAACGAGCCATGTAAGGGACGAACGAGCCATGTAAGGGGACGAACGAGCCATGTAAGGGGACGAACGAGCCATGTAAGGGGACGAACGAGCCATGTAAGGGGACGAACGAGCCATGTAAGGGGACGAACGAGCCATGTAAGGGGACGAACGAGCCATGTAAGGGGACGAACGAGCCATGTAAGGGGACGAACGAGCCATGTAAGGGGACGAACGAGCCATGTAAGGGGACGAACGAGCCATGTAAGGGGACGAACGAGCCATGTAAGGGGACGAACGAGCCATGTAAGGGGACGAACGAGCCATGTAAGGGGACGAACGAGCCATGTAAGGGGACGAACGAGCCATGTAAGGGGACGAACGAGCCATGTAAGGGGACGAACGAGCCATGTAAGGGGACGAACGAGCCATGTAAGGGGACGAACGAGCCATGTAAGGGGACGAACGAGCCATGTAAGGGGACGAACGAGCCATGTAAGGGGACGAACGAGCCATGTAAGGGGACGAACGAGCCATGTAAGGGGACGAACGAGCCATGTAAGGGGACGAACGAGCCATGTAAGGGGACGAACGAGCCATGTAAGGGGACGAACGAGCCATGTAAGGGGACGAACGAGCCATGTAAGGGGACGAACGAGCCATGTAAGGGGACGAACGAGCCATGTAAGAGGACGAACGAGCCATGTAAGGGGACGAACGAGCCATGTAAGGGGACGAACGAGCCATGTAAGGGGACGAACGAGCCATGTAAGGGGACGAACGAGCCATGTAAGGGGACGAACGAGCCATGTAAGGGGACGAACGAGCCATGTAAGGGGACGAACTAGCCATGTAAGGGGACGAACGAGCCATGTAAGGGGACGAACGAGCCATGTAAGGGGACGAACGAGCCATGTAAGGGGACGAACGAGACATGTAAGGGGACGAACGAGCCATGTAAGGGGACGAACGAGCTATGTAAGGGGACGAACGAGCCATGTAAGGGGACGAACGAGCCATGTAAGGGGACGAACGAGCCATGTAAGGGGACGAACGAGCCATGTAAGGGACGAACGAGCCATGTAAGGGGACGAACGAGCCATGTAAGGGGACGAACGAGCCATGTAAGGGGACGAACGAGCCATGTAAGGGGACGAACGAGCCATGTAAGGGGACGAACGAGCCATGTAAGGGGACGAACGAGCCATGTAAGGGGACGAACGAGCCCGCTCAGGGTCAATCCGTTTTGGAATGCTCGGCTCCGTTTGTCTGTGAGAACATCCGTGTGGCTGTGGGGATGGCATGGCATGCATGAACGGGAGGAGGTGCATGCATGCAGGCAACCCCCTTTGGTACTAGAAGTTGGTGCATTGACAGGAGAAACGAATGAGTAAGAGGCAGCTGGAAAGCACATTCCTAGAGCACAAAACTCCTGGCAGCACATGCAGATGTCAAGGTGTGAAGATTTTTATCTGAGTAAAAGCCCAGGAACGATGCATGGAGCTTATTTACAAGGTACGAAGATTTGAGAGCTTGCCAATGGTGTCGGGAATGGTGCCATTGAGGTTGCTGGATACAAGGGACCTGATCACACGGCAACGAGTCACGCATGTCAATGGTTGGACAACGCAACGCATGCATGTGCTGAGAGTCTGGTCCGGATTAGGCAAGACTCAAGAGCAAGTGGCCCAGCCGGCAGCTCGAGCCGATGGCTCAGCTCGTCTAGGGAAGAGCCATGCTGCCCGCCTCCGATGTTCAGAATTCATCGACACGCCGAATTGAACCTTTACCCGACCACACCAAGCTGCCATGTGAAGGGACGAGCCCGCTCGGCTCGTCACCAGCCGCCCCGCTCGGGACGGACCAGCCGTGTCTGCGGGCTCGCCTCACAACAGCCTCGGTACCGACCAGCCGTGGCTTCGGGCTCGCCTCACAACAGCCTCGGTACCGACCAGCCGTGGCTGCGGGCTCGCCTCACAACAGCCTCGGTACCGACCAGCCGTGGCTGCGGGCTCGCCTCACAACAGCCTCGGTACCGACCAGCCGTGTCTGCGGGCTCGCCTCACAACAGCCTCGGTACCGACCAGCCGTGTCTGCGGGCTCGCCTCACAACAGCCTCGGTACCGACCAGCCGTGTCTGCGGGCTCGCCTCACAACAGCCTCGGTACCGACCAGCCGTGTCTGCGGGCTCGCCTCACAACAGCCTCGGTACCGACCAGCCGTGTCTGCGGGCTCGCCTCACAACAGCCTCGGTACCGACCAGCCGTGGCTGCGGGCTCGCCTCACAACAGCCTCGGTACCGACCAGCCGTGGCTGCGGGCTCGCCTCACAACAGCCTCGGTACCGACCAGCCGTGGCTGCGGGCTCGCCTCACAACAGCCTCGGTACCGACCAACCGTGGCTGCGGGCTCGCCTCACAACATCCTCGGTACCGACCAGCCGTGGCTGCGGGCTCGCCTCGCTTTATAAAGAAGGCGGGCGTGTCCCAGCTCGACTGGAACCAGTTGTGACTGGCGGCCCTGTGTACATGGCTGTTCTGGAAAAACATGCTGCTGAACATGTATACACTTGTGCGAGGTCGCTGGTGAGGGAGGGATATGTACAAGCATGGTGAGGGAGGGATATGTACAAGCATGGTGAGGGAGGGATATGTACAAGCATGGTGAGGGAGGGATATGTACAAGCATGGTGAGGGAGGGATATGTACAAGCATGGTGAGGGAGGGATATGTACAAGCATGGTGAGGGAGGGATATGTACAAGCATGGTGAGGGAGGGATATGTACAAGCATGGTGAGGGAGGGATATGTACAAGCATGGTGAGAGAGGGATATGTACAAGCATGGTGAGGGAGGGTAGAAACCTGTATGATACTGCAACAGCAGGAGAGAATAAAAAGGGGACATCTGGGGAGCACAATCCAAGAGCACACAGCTCTTGGAAACACCTGGGGATAGGAATGCTAACCCAACCTAGCCTGTGTCACACTAGGTCCAGCTGCCTGTTGAGTCGGGTCCAACTAATTAGCCGATTCGAAGCTGAAACGGCCAAAGGCCCAAGGTTAAACACATACGCCGCTTGCCCTTGGAAATACCACAGAACTCAGGCCAATGACAAGAACTGGCTGGCTCTTGTTGACCCGGCGTTTCGTGACTGGCCGGTTCGACTTTGGCCCATCCTCCAGGCGAATGCTTCGAGAAGCGGGTGTAGAAACGTTACTTCTGACTTGCTATTCCAATGCTCGAAAAGGCCGCGGAGGTTAGCCCTGAAAGGTGCCTTCATCTGACAAAAGGCAGTTAAAGGATCTAGGTTTCGAGCCACGAACGACGCCGCTTCGCCGCTACGACCCAACGCGGTTAGGGTTTTGAAACGCCCCGCCGACCGGAAAATCTAAGGCCCCTTTCGTCCTTCACGTGCCGAACCGGCTGAGTCCAAGGCGTGCAACCTGTGACCAAACGGACCCAGGAACAGGTGGCACTCACAAGGTACGAAGATTCTCAAGGTCTCCAATGGAATGAGGAATGGATCCATTGAAGCTGTTGTACTGCAGGGCCCTGAAAAGGGGAACAAGGCATGCATGCGTGTGTCCAGGGCGTGGTGCTTTGCACGCGTTTGTATCGCTCAGTATGGAGGAAGGGTGGACTACTATGCATTTCAGTCATTTCTCTATGTGAAGGGGTGTGACAAGAAACAAAATGATCCAGCCACGGATACCCAAGGGTCCACTCACATGGCTGTTATCATTCCCTTGGTATCGCACGTGACGTTCGTTGCCTTGCTGCATTCCCCACCAACCACCCAGCCATCAATCGTCGTGTTCCACGCCTTCTGACAGTCCAGCAGCACTTGCGCTGGCGGCAGGGGGGAATGCAGGGATTTGGAGAGCGAAGGGCAAAGCAGGTGAAAGGACTCGGCTCGACTGATTTGATCACACATGCGGTCACCCGGCAGTGGTGGGTGATGGATGGAGGAAGAGGTGGCGGGAAATCAAAGAGGACACTCCTTTCCCTGTCAGAACATATATATAGCTTATGCTGTTGTGTAGGCTATAGTGGGGTATCCCATAGGGGGTACAACCCAATTAGGGTTTCCTATATGTACTCACTTCATTCATAGTTCATTCATTCTCGTTCTCATTTTCACATGGAATCAGAGCAGGTCCCCTCCTAGAGACTGTTCCTTGGGCCCACCGAAACGCGCCTCGAGTCGCGCCTGCCCTTTTTTTTTAGCGGCCCGTCGAGTCGCACCTAGCGGCCCGTAGCGCCGCCCTTACGGTCGCGTCGAGCCGCCATAGCGACTGCGGCGCGCCGCCCCTTTTCCCGGCCCGTCGCCGCCCTTACCCGCGGCTTTACGCCGCCCTCACCGGCGGCTTCGCGCCGCCCCTTACCTGCGGCCCCGCCGCCTCTCTCGTTGCGGCCCCGCCACCCGTCTTCGCGGCCCCGCCGCCATCTCTCGCTGCGGCCCCGCCGCCACTCACTGCGGCCCCGCCGCCCGTCTTCGCGGCCCCGCCGCCTCTCTCGCTGCGGCCCCGCCGCCTCTCACTGCGGCCCCGCCGCCCTACTCAGCGGCCCCGCCGCCCGACTTCGCGGCCCCGCCGCTTCTCTCGCTGCGGCCCCGCCGCCTCTCTCGCTGCGGCCCCGCCGCCTCTCTCGTTGCGGCCCCGCCGCCCTTCCCTGCGGCCCCGCCGCTTCTCTGCAGCGGCCCCGCCGCCCGTCTTCGCGGCCCCGCCGCCTCGCTACGTCAGCGGCCCAGCCGAGCCGCCCAACAGCAGTGCAGCCGAGCCGCCCAGCAGCAGAGCAGCCGAGCCGCCCCGCCGCCGAGCCGTGCTGCAGCCGAGCCGCCCGGCCGCCGAGCCGCCCTGCCGCCGAGCCGCCCTGCTGCCGAGCCGCCCGGGAGCCGAGCAACCGAGCCGCCGTGCAGCCGAGCCGCCCTGCTGCCGAGCCGCCCTGCCGCCGAGCCGCCCGGGAGCCGAGCCGCCGAGCCGCCCTACCGCCGAGCCGCCCTGCCGCCGAGCC